AAATCGATGCGACACACACAAACAAAAAACATACTGCATTCAAGCAAATGTTACTTATTTTTATTATTTCAAAAATTTATGTCCGCAGATACATCATAAACTCATCTTAAGTATCAAATTTGTTCTGAATCTTACACTAAGAAAAAATGTTTAATTTGATATTTGCAATTAATCATGTAGGAAAATAATTATAAATAATATATAAATAATAAGATATATAATAAGAGAAATACTAGGAACAATATAATAAAAAAATATATAATGGAAGTAAATACATATATATAATTATATTAAATACATAAAAATAATTAAATATATAAGTATGGTCAAGAAAACTATTTTTATTAAATTCTATTATAATATCAGTAATAATAACCTTATATGCATATTACTACTATTAATATTTTGCCACAAAAAGTATGGTTAGATAAAAAATAACTATAATTTTAATTGGGTCAACTATCTTTTTCTTTCAGTATAACATTTTCATCAGGAATATTAGATTAAAGCAAAAATTCAGTTTGCTTACCTTGTATAGAGTCGAATCAATTGTCCCTTCGACAAAATTTTATGATATTCCTGTAAAAAGAATAAATAAATTCCTCTTTTAAGTGTATTATAATGAATTTTTTAAAAATTTGTCACGAATAGAGTATTTCAAAAATATTATCAAGGAAATTTTCTTTGTAACTATTATTACTAACTATTATTTAAAAAAAAATAAACCAAGTATAGTCGCTTTTCTTAGCAGCAGAATAATATTTTTCTCTGTGCACGAGAATACGCAACGTTCGCCGTCGTTTACGGTGATTGAACTAGAATCGCGGAAGCACAACTATCAGTCCGGATTTTATCCGAGCGGCACGAATAGACGAGATATGCGCGACATACACACACACACACACACACGCATGCACGCGATCCTATATGATTAACCCGCAAAACGCGTTCATTTTCGTTTCCGGTTCGGGATGACTGGCTAACAGGTTTAATCGCGGGCCCGTGCGAAACGGGGTTTACAGGGAAAAGGCAAAACCGGCCGGGCTATATTCCACGGGCCGTTGCTCCTCGTAACCGGAGTCCGGTCGTCGTCGTTGTCGTCGTAACCGGCATTTCGTGCGGCAAAGTGCGAGATTGCGGTGCAAAATAATTAAACATCAGTTTAGAGTGTTGCGGTATCGGCTCGTTCCGCCACGGTTGTGAGCAACGCTGTAAATCGGCGATTCCGTTCGCACGGAAAAACGCTCGCGCGATTTCCGGTCGGGAGAGCGCGTCCCACGATACAACTCGATTTCGGGTTACGATCGGTTGATCGGTCGGCCGGAAAGGAGAAAAATAATTGCGCTTTTTTTCGCGCGTGACGATACCGTTCGCGCGAACGATATCCGATGCGCGAGTCGACCATGCGGTGACCGGTTCCGAGCTTATAGATTACGTCACCCGTTTCATATTATATGTACACACACATGTATACACTGTAAAAAATCTTGCGTATACAGTACGTAAACAAATGTTCCAAAAAGTCCACTCTAAATTTTGTGTCGAAAATAACATTCATATGTTCATTGGTGTGTTATTTACATTATGTATAGACTAGTACATAATATAAATAACACACGAATGAACATATAAATGAGTTATTTTCGACACAAAATTTAGAATGGACTCTTTGGGACATTTGTTTACGTACTGTATACACATTTTTTACAGCGTATATGGCTCATCTACAAAGATGTATCATGTTGACAATTAAAATGTCGCCATTAATAATGACCCTCTTCGACGTTTTCGGTAAAGTAAAACTATCTACAAAAATTGTTCGGAGAAAGAAAACTACTCGCTAAAATTAAAATCACAAGTTCCGGAAAACATTCTGTGTATGTATATATAATTTAAAATCGTAATAAGAATGACCGCGAATATGGGAAGTAAAAATCCTATGGAAGAAGTAACATTTAATTAAATAAGAAGTAACATTTAATTAATTAAATATTAAATAACATTTAATTAAAGTGCTAAAGAGTACGAAATAAGCGCGCTCTTTTATGTATATTTCGCTTGTCACATACCAAATATCTTTACAGTTTTTCGCATCCTATTTAACTTGACTTAATCTACTTAAAAATCTACCAAAATCTACTTTCAAAAATTAATTCTAATAAAGTCGCATATTTAGACAAATTTTGTTCCTATTATATAAATTATATTATGAAAATATCATTAAAACATGATCCTACACTAAAAGAAAAGATATCTGAAAAATAAAAAATATTTACTCGATGGATATTAAGAACATATTGTACTAATATATATAATTTAACACCGAGAAAAATGATTTTCAATAGAGAAAATTATCATTTTCCTAAAACCGCATTGCATTCTCTAAAAACAATTATCTATTCTATTTAAACAAAAGAAAGATTTGGGCTTTAGAAAATATATTAATATATTATAAATATGTATTGGTATCTACCGAATATTTTTTACTTCTTAGATATCTATCGAATATTTTTTACTTCTTAGATATTTGTTCTCTTAGTGTATGCATTATCTTCGAGGAAAACTGATCTTTTTCGTATCATTCTCCTCACTTACTAAAGACTCCTCCCGTATGAATAAGTAAATAAATAAATAATTGTTGTTTATATACGCGAATTGATTGCGCAAGTGAGAAAAAAAGAAGCACCTCCGCGATAGAAATAGAATTCGGAGAAAGTTATCGCGAAATAAAGACGCTCCATAAACCACTTTCGGATTGCCAATGTAGTGTGAAAAGGTAAAATCGTCGTCGATCTTCTCCCCGGCTTGCTTTCGCAGTCCATGAGCGAAACCGTCTCGCACGAAGACAACGAAGTTCCGATACTTAACGAGCGCGCGATTACCGCGCGTTAAGTGCGCGTGCATACAGCAGATTAAGTTACGCATCGCGCGGTGCGTTCGGGCGATTCGACATCGCACGCGACATCACGGACTTAATTCGTCGTCGCTTTTCTCATTTCTTCACCTTTTTCTTCTTTTTTCTTGTTTGTTTCAGAGAGTCTTCTAAGTGGACCGAAGAAATCGTTTATTGGCGGCGGAAGTAGGTCGCGGCGAACACGAGCGCGGCTTCGCAAGGTGCGAGATTAATTAAACGAGAAAAAACGTCTTTCGGTAACGTCTGATTGTGAAAAGACATTCTCCAGATGTCCTCGAGACCTCTCAAATCAGACGTCTGCAAGTTGTCATTTATATGACACTTTCTGGAACATGTGTAACTCTCTACGTTCCTAACTACGGCATTAATACATGGCTTTTTAATCTTGTAATTTTTTATGAGTAAAATTTTCATCGATATACATGTCGAAGAATACCACGTAACTTATTACCAACGCATTGTTAACTAATCACAAGAAAATTCATGTTTAGCCAAACGCAATCGCAACGTATATTCATGTAACACCATAAGAAATAAATACACTTTATGAAACGCACCGTTTGAAAACTAAAACCTTTAGATATAAAATTTTACTTGACCCACCTCATTGCCTCATCACACCTCATCACTTATCACCTCATCACACTCATCACAAACATTCTTGGCGAAATAATAATCCATTGGATTTTATGATTATGATTCTGTAATGTAAAAATACTGACCACTGTTAAACTATTTTCAAACGAGCCACTGACTCGCCGTTGTGTTACGCGCACGATTCTTCGGTAGAGACAATGGAAACTCATAACAGACATTTTCAAACTAACAAATAATGGATTTTCAATAATCAGCAGGTGTAAAAGCGATATTTATAAACTGTTTTTATTTCTAAAATTTGGAAATGATTAAGAGTTTTGTAAGTTATATATATCACACACACATACACATATTTATAAGATAATATTAAATATAAAATCGAACTTACATAAATATCATTCCAAGAGCCGTAAAATTGACCAACGGACTGTCTAGTATCATCTAGTAATGGCCAGAAAAAATTTTATTAAAATTAGTTTGTTTTTTCGGCTAAATTAGTTTAAGTATGAATTAAATTGGTTTCAATTTTAGTTAAGATTCTGCAGAAGCAAAGAGCATATATTGATTTAACTATGAAGGCCTCATGTGGTAAGAGCGCGAAACACCATTCTGTATACATAGTTATATGTCTATATATACGCGAATACTAATGTATTGCTTACAGGAACAATTGCAAGTTAGTACAGCCAGACTATACTTTCTGTAGTTACTTTTCTTCCAATTGAATTCACCGATTTGAAAATGTTTTTACAGTGTGTAAGTACAAACTTTAATGAATGCTTTACGCTACACATTTGCAAGAAATCATATAAATTTGTATTTACCGACCGTCGGTATCACAGGCTACTTGCTACTTGTTCATTGCTACTACTACTATTACTATGTTTATTAATTTTTGTCCTTTTATCCCATGAAAGCATATCTAGTTTGAAGTATCCCGTCAGGAGAAAAGAGAAAAAAAACAATGTGTTACGCCGGTCTGTAGAATCCAAATGGGTGCGCCGATTTTGAACGCTTTCACGGGGTGAAGTACAAACATTAATGAACATTTTGCACTGCACAGATGCGCGGTCGTGAAAATATTTTTTACCAACAGTCAGTAGTATAGGTTCCAACTTTGCCGATGGTTGGGAAATAACTATTTTAATGATTTCGGCAACTGTTGGACGCTAAACACACAAACAATTGCGCTTTCGCTCGGTGAAAACACTTTCAGTCTTCAGCGCTTAACAATCTACGGATGTTTTTCTGATTACAAATATCATAAATATAATTTTCCTCGCATTTTAGTCGAAGATTTTTGCCTATTTAGCGGCCCTCCGCGAGAGATCTCTAAGATTCCTTTAAACTCTTAATTAAATACAGAATTCTTAGAAGAAAAATCTTGGCCAACTTAAAAAATTAATATTATTAAAAAAAACGTGATTCGAACAAAATACTTATGTATTAATATATCACATTAAAACCCACGACAATCGTTAAGCATGTATCTGTTATACGATGCATTTATTTCTATTTGCAACTAATTAAAACAGAAGAGTGATCCAAGAAATGTCTTCTCCCACCTCTGTACATTCTATTCATATAAAATATATGTACATATAAATAAGTATACAGTGTAAATTTTACATATCAGATTGCATATCATACAATATATAACTGAATAAATGTATATATATGTTATATATATATTTATACATATATATATATACACACACACACACAGGAGTCATCGAACTTATTACTAATGCTTTAGATGTACCCAGATAGAAATGCATGATGATCATGTTTCATCATATTGTGACTTCATACTATAACTCCAATTTGATACTTTTTTAAAGATCATTACGTGATCTCATGACATGAGCATCAGATGCACACAAATGATGTACAAATTATGTTGCAAATTCTTGACATGATGTTGATTATTATTATTAAATGAGGTATTTTTGTGATATCATAACATGTCTACATTCTGAGGCGCATATGAGCCCGCATTGGTGTCTATTCTTCTCCTCATGCTTGAAGATACATGAATACAATATGAGCTCGGAATGAACACATTTTTCTATCTGGGTATTTAGAAACAATCGGTTTAATCGATAGAGAAAATTACATGCATACTATCATATTTTTCAACAGCGTAAAATTATCCCTAAAACCATTCTTAAAAAATTAAATGACTTGATTCTGACGATTAAAAATACTGAAAATATCCTACTTACACTTCATTATTATCTTCATATTGCACTTCACAAAAAAGCGTTCTACGTAATTCCGATTGTTCCTGTATCTTATATGCATTCCGTATAACCGTGTTTTACATGATGTACATTCAAAACCTTCAGCATTTCAGTTATATATAACATTTCAGTTATATATAATAACGTCGATGCAGAAATGCAAAACTGTATATACGTAAAACGTATAAAATATCTTCTCTGGCAGTCGTATATATGTACATATAGTTATTATATTGTACTATATATGTATGGAATTTATTACAAAATACAAATATAGGATTCGAGTTTCCGCGAACGATTAAATGCGTATATTCCGCGTTTTTTTTTTAAGGAATAAACGTACCGAACGTGCTTGATTAATCGTAACGAAACCATCGTGTATTTATGAAGATTTAGAGAAATTGAAAGTGAGAGCCAAATTTTGCTTGTTTATGAAAAAAATATAGAGACACGTTCACAACAATATAATGGATCAACCCGATCATAACCTTAGCTTTAATTTCCCTAAATTAAATATTACTTTTAAGGAGATGCTGAAGCTGAAAAGTTTTACTGATAGAATATTGGCATTTTTTACAAAGTTCACGACATATTGGTTGTGCGGAATTACAAATGCTTTCATACAATAAAAATACGTGTAAAAATAAATTGCTAATTATTTTGTGATTGTGTTAATAACAATTGTCTCTACGTTATCGATATTGTTCGAGTTTCTTATCGACTTCAGCATCCTTTTAACGCATTCGCATACTTATTTCGTTTTCTCCTTCTTTCTATTCATCTTTATTCATCAAACAAACGCACCAAACGTGATTTATTAACGGAAATATTGAAGCCATTATATGTTCAACAGAGAAATCGGGAGAACCGCGCAAACGGTTTCGTTTCGTTAAAAAAAAAATATAAACACATTTAAAATATCGTAACAGATATCACTGGAATTATATCATTCTAACCAACAGCCTATGTTTAATTTCGCCTAAAACTAGATATTATCCTTAACACATTGACTGCCATCATGCTGATTTCCACAGATTTTCATCAAAGCTTAATTAAAAGAATGATTAATCAAAAGTATAATAAATTATGTATTTCCTGAAGGATACATTCATCAGCTAGTCTTATTCATCTCAAAATGGCAGTCAACGTGTTAACATGGTCGTGCGTTTATTTCGTGGAACATTTCCTCTTCTCGTCGCTCTCGAAACCGGAATCCAAATCATCACTTTGACACTTCTTTAACGTGCAACTCTTGGAACTTTGCCTGTACGCTCCTTGCTCCACTAACAATTTCCTTATGCTGTCTATCAAGTGTTCAAAGAAATTCGGATAGCCATCGTATCCGGGGAACACGTTCACGTCTATAATCGCATACTTGCCAGTATGATTCTCGATCACGACGTCTACCCCGACTAGTGTAAGTCCAAATATCTTCTTGATGCTTTTGACAATCGTCTCAAATACTTGGTAATTTGGCTTCATAGTTAAAGGAATGTCTTCTTCGGATAGAATCGACCATTTAGACTTGCTGCCGCTTTTTGATATATCGTGCGAGTCGAAGAATATTGTACTTAACGAATTACAGTCTTCTTGGTAAAAGTTCTTCAAGCTGGGCCGTTCCACCACGTGAAAACGCTCGCCCACGACGAACACCTTGTACAAAATAGCGTTGTGGTTGATAAAATCCTGGGCAACACAGGGTGGCTGACAGTCTTTCAAGTCCCTTTCGTTGAAGATGATCATCATCTGAGGTCAAACAGTATTAAGCAATGCTACTCTGAAGTCTTAATTCTCTTATATATACAGAGTGTCTGACAATACATAACACACCTGTTGTGTGCAAGTAGAACTCATCAAACTGAACACAAAATTCCTCTACAATTTTGCAAACACATTTTTTGTTAATATTCTTTTAAGCACCCTGTATATATTAAGTATTTGTATTGAAAGACTAAACAATAAGAATGTCCAAGAATAAGTACAAGTTCAAGCGTTGGTACTTTTACCTTACCTTGTGTGCATCGCTGAAGCCATATGCAATAAGAGGTTTACAAACAAATGGGTACTTAATGCCACGTTTCTTCAAAGTAGACACTATGTCTTGAACATCTCTACTCTTAATTTCTACAAAATTTGGAGTAAATATATCTAAAAACAGATCGATTAACATCAAACTATATTTCTGATTCCTTCGCAAACAGTCAGTATTGCATGATAAATTGCAAACTTACCACTAAACCTAATACCTTCTTGTATAAATTCATAAGATTTACATCGATTACGTAAGTTCTTAATATTGTCCAGAGGGTCGATAACAATCAGATCTGGATGTTTGGCAATATATTCCTGGAGTCTCGTGACTATATCTTCAGCCTGTAAAAAATGTGTTACACGATTATTAACGTATTTTGAAACTTATGGGTATCTAATAGGCATTTCCCACACATTTTTATCACCGCTCTCCGCGTGCGATTGCGTATCCGTCAGTTTGTGTAGAAAAACGTGTAGTGGTCCCTGCTTTTCAAGGCTTAAATTCACATCGATCTGAAACAAACGAAGACTCTAATAATTCCTAAAACACTATGAGAGACTAATACGGAAACATCGAACATATTTCCCGACGTCTATATATTGACTTATACAATGACGATCCGCATCTAATTGACGGGAGTGGAATATCGGATAACACAGAGCTTGGTTATCCAAACATAACCTATGCCGCGGAGTTCAACGCAATATACTCTCCAGGCTTCCTCTCGCTCACCATTTTTAACCGAAAGCCCTCGCTCTCGCAGACGTTCTCGAAGTCATTCCAATTGAATTTCTGCCGTTTCCTCTCGGATATCCAATAACCGATGACATACTTGTCGCACATTTTTCCCCCGAATTCGGCTTCGTTCGCCGCGCCGTTACATCGATCGATTCGCGGTGACAGATCTATCTCGATCGTGCGTGCGACCCACGTCCGAAAAACGAAGATCCAACCTCCTTCACTTCCTTGCTCGCGTCGCTGTTCAAACAATCCACCGTAAACCAATTTTCATACTTGTGCAGCGCGCTTGTACTGCCAGCCGAGACGAGGTTAAACACGCCGCATTCAAAAAGTCACGTTTCGCGCGGCACTCTCCTCCACGGAGAAGTCGACTGTCGTCCAGATATTTCCTACATAGAAAACAGTCGCTGTCCGCGTCCGTTCGTCCGTCGTCGTCGTCGTTGTCGTCGTCGTCGTCGCGACAAACGACGACATCTCTTTTTAAAACGCGACGCCGGGCCTCGCGTCGCTCGAAATACCACTTAGATAATGCGTCTGGTCGCTTGTCTCTTTCTCTCTCATTGTCTCCTTCCTCTCTCTCTCTGTCTTCCTCACTTACTCACCTCTTTCCCCTCCCACCACCCTCTCTCTCCCTCTCTCCTCGGCGCACGACCTAGGCGTTAATTCTATTGTTTACTTTTTTGCCGTGCGCCGCGTTGCATCACGTCGTGGAAGTGTATTTTTTATCAGCCAACTGCGAGCGTGATCGGCGAATAAATAGACCTCGGACGGACGAGGACAGCGTTTGAATACGACACGATCGGCGCCGCAGAGAATTCAGTTTCAAATTCAAACGTCTCGACACGTCGGCGGTTGTACAGATGATTTGAAACGCATATCTGGAATGTCTATAGATAAGAGTCACAAAGATTAAATTATCGGCTAGAAAATTTCCACTCTATCTTTGGAAATTTTTTCAGCATTCCAAAAATAGTCGAGACGAGATAATGAGGAATTTGAATGAAAACAAAGTGGAACGGTTACAAAATTCAAATATTTAAATTTGAGGTAACATGTATAATATGCGCGCATACACAGGATATACTTATGCACTTACATGTGATGTATTTGTACATATCATATATATACATATATGTGTGTGTATGTGTGTGTATAAATATATTTAAACATACGTACATTTTGGGTTGCTGTGTCGAATACGATTAATTGTTAATCGATACGATTTAAAACGACAACGTCGCTGTCAACTATCTTCTCTTTATAACGGAGATAAGAAAACTGTGTCTTCGTATTTGCACTTGAAGTGCCGTGTGCAAATTGTCACGAGGTATCTTGTCGAAGTGACGCAATTCTTCGATTACGATAATTATAAGTTGAAAATAAATTAATTTTAATAGATTGGAATTAAGGTTAAGGAATTGAAATACGCGGACGTTAGAACGCGATTGTAAGTTCATGTATTCAGATACATTGAGAATACGCAATCTTGCGAATCATTAAACGCGTCCGGAACTTCCCAGTAGAGTCTGTAACGGAAAATAAATTTTCAAACATTATGACAATCTTTTTTTCTTTTCTTCTCATTGTCCACCCTGCACACTCACCGAAGTATCACTTAAAGGTGTTAACATGCTCTTAGTAACGAAAATCGTCACGCTGCTGTCGCGTTCGATCGTGCTATCTGTGATTAAATCGCCTTTCTCCAAGATCCTCACCTCTCCGAGAGAATAGGAACACGAACTCGGCATGTATAACTCACCCTCGGAATGAGACATCTCGGACGACGTTCCAATCTGAAAAACGTAAATTGATTGATTAACTAACTGATGTGTGAGGCGCGCACACATGCGCAGCTGCTAATACAATATTATTGTGAATTATTGCGAGAACGTTACTTGTTCCTATTTTTACCAGGATACTTATTCTACAATCTTTAACTGGCGTAGCATTTCCATGACACATTTTAAAAGCCAATGCCATATTCAAGCCAATGTCATACTTTGATTCGAAAATCCTCGTATCGAAATGTCGCAATAATTTCTGATATAAATAATTAAAGTCCGCCTTTGGTAGTATCGTATAGATTTCATGCGCTCAGGCTCGTAACATTATATGTGCACGCGCGTATCGATCGCTCCTCATGTATTGACAGTTCAATTGATATCAATTTTTATTGTTTAGCTGATTTTTTTGCCTAAAATGTTTACTCTCCTGCGTTTGATTCTTATTGTCCTTTAATTACACTTTTCGATTGTATATTTCAGAGCTCTATTTATGTCTGTTTCAGTCAATTTTCTTTCTGATCGGTGCAACTATCACGTAGATTACAGTGATTAGATTACAGTGATATGAACTTATATTGGTCACAAGTACATCATCAAAGAAGTTCTTTAATTTCTTCTTTTTGTCGAGAATACAAGTGATCCACTTTGATAGATCTTAACGTGATCAGAGCCAAGTCGCAATTTATTTAGACAAGCTCAATTGTACACGAATGGAGGACAATTTTAGGACTGAATCACTTAAAAAACTTCAACAATACTAAAATATAACAATAACAATTAATTTATATTAAATTGCTTTCTATAGCTTTTTGTTATTTTAAACATATTATTAAAATCACACGCTTTAGCTGTAATAATTAGCGCGAATCGCGTGCACTTTTCCAAAAAAAGAAAATATTAAATACCGATCATTTGGTTATGACGGTTAAAATTCGATAATATTAATTAGTTTGTCAATATCAGCAAACAGTTACACTCTATGCGGTACTTATGCGTAACCAGAAAATGAGATCAATTCGGCTGTCGATAACAGATGAGCGATCGGTACGTGTCCACACATAGTATCGCGCGTCTGAGTACATGAAATTTACACAGAGGCGATCGTCAACTTTAACCTTTCATATCTCGGGAACTACTGTGTCTACTCACTTCTCTCTTCGTATCATCGCCAAATGCGACATTGTTGGACCTGAAAACAGAGAAGCCAAGCGATTAATGCTTCAATTATCATAATTCAGAAGCTACATTCTTACACGACGACAATTTAATTTAATGTAATTGCGCGTTAACAATAATGCAATTTAATTGTCAACGGCACTTTTATTAACCTTCCCTGGTCACCTGGAGTGTACAGCACTCTAAGCAATTTTCAATTTTAAATTCTAACGGAAGTCCGGAAGTAACGGAATTCCAAGTGCTAAATCTAAGGCTGCGTTCCGAAATTCACTGCTGAAATTCTATAGTATACGTGACATGAACTATAGATTTTCAGTACTGGCAATGAATTTCGGAACGCAGCCTAAGTATATGGTTTTTTTTTTTAACTATTGGAGAATGTTTTCATGATCTTCAAGAATGTGTCAACACCATTAAATAATTTAAAAATGCGATCTAATTAAAATGGCAACGCGAAAATGACATTGGGGTGTGCCACACCCCATGTGACCAACTTGTTACGATTGGGAAGTGTGATCAGGGAGGGTTAATATCGTTACACACACACCCGCCATTATGATCCAACGTTGCACTACTGACGCTCGAACTGGACAGGCTCATCCGTAACGTCGAGGCGACCAGCCAAAGCTGCTCATTGCCGCTGCTTCTCGTGCTCTTCGGAAGCACCGACTCCTTGTTTCCGTTCCCGCGACTTTTCGGCGTCCCGTTTGTCACCGGTTCGTTGCCGTCCTCGTTACTCGCCTTAGTCGAGTTAGCCTCGTCCACGACGACTAAGGAAATTCTTCTATCGCACGACTGAACCTCCTTTAAGGGCGACTCATCGCTCTGCGCACTCGACAACGTGTGCAGCGAGGCGCAGTCCCGCAAAGAATCGGCCGAACATGAATCCGCAGGGCTGATCTTACCGTTCGCCGCGGAATTTGCTCGTGTATTATTAATGCCCTGCTCGGCCTGTGCGCACGAAGACCTGATGTTCTCCTCGGTTAACGAGTGCGCGAGATCCTCCTTCGCCAAGGTCTCGTCGACGACTCTCGGCCTGCTCGCGTCCGACTGCGTTCGCTTGTCCCTTTTTCCCGAAACATCCGAGGCTGGAGGAGATGATATCTCTTTATCCTTCAAAGCAGTGCTGTCATTCGCTGCTTTCTCGGCTGTAATCTCCGTTTTCTCTTCTTTTTTCTCTTCTTTTTCCTTCGCAACGACGAGTGTGCCATCCGTAGCACCCAGAAGCCCGTCGTTCACTTGATCTGTAGTCGTTCGCGAGATACTTTCGTTTGTATGTTGATCGCCAAGAACAGAATCTTTATCGTCTTTTATCCCACTCGATCTATATTCGTGCCTTTTGCCGCTCATATTGCTCCTTTCATCATGGAACGTTATAGTCGCCGCGTCAGGACCGTCAGCTTCCGTTTCTTGGTCCTTTTGCGATCTCACAGACACAGTCTTCGCGGGCGAAAGTCGGGAATTCTCTCGGGGATTTCCCGCCTCGTCGCTAAGAATATCGGAGATTCTCTTCAACGACTCGCCCTCTGAGTGCAAGTCCCTTTTACTCTCGCCGTTACTTCGAGAACCCGGAATAGTATGGGTGGCGGACTCTCGAGCTTCTGAACGCTCGTCGCGACTTCCTAGGTCGCGAGAATCCTCGATGAGCCGCCCGTTCTCGTCGGAAGCGACTCTCACTTGCGTTTGTTGCCCGTTCTTCTCGTGTAATGCCAATTCCTCGATTGCACGAGGTGATACTTTATGAGAATTGATTTCCTCAGTCTCCTTTTCCTTTTCCATGGCTTCGCCATCGACGGCTCCGTCGGTTTGGCTCTTAACGTTGATCAAGATATCCTTCAAGACATCCAAAGTTTCCGTGCGACGCGTCGCTACGTCGCCGACCGAGTCTGTCTCCTGCAGACGAGCGAACAGCTTCTCCATCATCGTAGGTGCGACCGCAGACTCGTCCAAGACCTTCGCGACCTTCCCCTCGATAATGTGCCTTTCGTCCTGTAGCATGTAAGCAACCAACCGATCTGTGGTCTCATCCTTTAGACTTCGGAGAATCTGCGCAAAGACGTCGTTGCACCCTTCCTTCGTTCGATCTGTTTTATTCGCAGAATCCTCGAAGCGATTCGTTACACGTGACTTCGAGTCCGCGTAATTATCCTCGGACGCCTGAGATTTCGCTTGAGCGACTCGATCCTGCCGAAGACGATGTATCTGCGTGTCGGTGCGCGTGCTGGACAACGCGGGCGGCAGACTGGAGAACGTCGTGATGTCCGACTTATCCATCGACAATTCCGACAAGCGCGTTTTGGACTTTGGCCGTTGAGCGCCGTCCTCGTCGGGAGACATCTTGGAGTCGTCGCTCGCGTCCGGTATAGCTCTCTCTGCAGATTCCACGGAGTTCTGCGAATGATCGTCGCGACGACGAACGTTTCTCTTCATGAAGCCCAACGACTTCGTCTTCGTCGCGGCCGCGGAGGCCTCTTGCGAATCTGCAACGGAGACTCTCTGTATCTCCGACGCGCTTGAGATACTCGGAGTTTCATTCTTCGAGATAGTAGCCACGACTGACGGGCTCGTCGTCGGTTGGTCCAACGAATTCCCGCGACCGTGATCGCCCGACAAGTCGGTAGTCGACAGATTATCGCGACTGGTTTCTCGTTTTCTCTCTTCAATTTTGTATCTTGCGAACTCGGGCTTTGTCAACAACGCCGCGAAGGTCTGGACAGCGCGAACAGCACGCTCGATCTTCTTGTCGTTGGACAGCAAGGTGGAATCCAATTCGTCGAGGCGCGGCCGATACAGCTCGACCTCGTTCACCTCGTCCTTCGCTGAAAAGTCGTCCCAAGATGAACGTATCTTCTCGGCGACGTCGTCGTACGGCTCATCCGCCTCGTCGTGACTCTCTCTGTTGAACATGTTCGAAAGATACTCATCAATCGCCCGATATTGTTTCGAGCTCGACGTCGTTCGACAGGGCCGAGCAATATTTTCACGGGGAAAACTCACTCGCCTTGAGACGTCGGTCGAGGCAAGTGGTGGCTGTGACTGATCGCCTCTATTTTCCGCCTGGATCTTATCAGCTATGTATTCTACGTTTTGTAGCCGACTCAGATTGTCAACACAGCTCTTCTCATTAAATTTTCCTTCGTCGTCCGTACGACGATTCTCTACATTATTACCAAAGTTCATATCTGGTTTACCGACTGTATCAGTCGCCTCTTCATTCGTTACGTTCGCCATCGAACGTTCAGATATTTTCGCGTCTCGCAAATTGACCTCTTTATCTTTCTCCTCTTCTCTGTAGGCGCCGTCTTGAAGCTGCGGCGTGGTTGGCGCTCGTTTCTGCTCGTTGTTACGCTCGTAATCAGAATCCTGGTTTTCTACAACGACTCGAACATCCTCTTCCAGCTTCCTCGAAGCGCTCGTCGTTGCAGTTTCGACTACAACTTCCGTCGCGATCGGTTTTTCGCGTTTCTCCCTCGAAAGTGTGGCCAATCTCGCGCGACGTCGCGCTCTGGATGTCATCAGCGACTTGTTCGCCTCGTTATCCACGGACATGCTACTTTCTTCAGTGGCGCTTTCGTGATGCAGTATATAAGTGGCCGCGTTCACGCGTCTGCGAGCCGGCGACGGCCTTGGCGATATGTGCACGTCTTCCAGATCTTGTCTCGTGAGTTCCCCGTTGACGTGCAGTGGCGGTCCTATCTGGATTCTGCACACACCGCTGTCCGGTTGAACAACTCGAGCCGCCGACGATGGTCGCCGTCGACTGCGAGCCGGCTGGCTGTCACGCGCCGTCGTTTGGTCGTCCTTGGACGACGAATCTTTCGAGTTCTCCGGCGCTTCCGCAAGCGGTGCACGTCCTCGTGACCGCTGCTCGTCCGTTCCGCACTCAAGGGACGTGCGGACGGCGACACGTCGCCGCTGCGACGTTCGAAATTTAGGAGCCGACAAATCGACTCTCCGTGTAGTGATTCTTGACGCGTTCTCTTCGCTGCTCGCTTCAGGTCTCCCGGGATAACTCGTCTCTTGAAACTTGGAGGTGACCAGCTCGCGGATGTACAGCAGCTCCTCGACCTCGTCGTCCAACGGCGGATCGTCCGCAAACCTGAAAGTGTGTGCGATACACTAGCGAATGATTGCGAAAAGAGAGGAGGGATTTTGTCAAATTTTATATAAAATATGTACTTGTCAGATAATGTTGGATAATTATGTAATAAGCAATTTCGGAATTTTCAAGTAAAATATAACGATTATATTTTTATGTCATTGTTTTATGAAACAGAATGCACACAGATAGCAGAAGGTCATAAATCAAAATACATAAACGCATACATTGTTTCATGAAATTATAATAATATAGAGATACAATCGATTCATTTCACTTGATAAAACCCGAAATTATTTATTACAACTCAATATATATCATTACACATTACCCTCTATTTATCATTTACGCTGAGAAAAAAGTGTCTGATATTTGTGAATGTAATTGCATAATAAAATCAGAAGATTAGAAAATGAGAAACACTAGCAAAAGTCAATCAATCAACGCAGATTGCGAATAAATTATTATCTATTGTATCATCAAGAAGCTCTTTAATATTATTTTTAATACATCCCAATATCTTTTGCAAAACGCTTTAATTTGCTAAAAGATAATTTAAAGACTGGAATGAAATAATATCAATATTTCCTATTAATAAATAAATAAATAAATATTTTAGTGAGACTGACCAATTCTTTTTTCTCAGTATAGGTGATCGTCTACTCACGTGTCTCTATCACGTCGTGCAGAATCGAGACCGGGGACCACGTGCACCTTCGCGAGCTGTATCTTCGCGTCGTTAATGATCCTCTCGGCATTCTCGAGCGCGGTTGACGTCTCGGGACTTAAGACCGGATCACGAGCTCGCGCTTCGACCGATCGACTCGTTTCTGACTGTGATTAATAAATGATGACGCGTTGTTCACTATAAAAATGCATATCAACAAGAGCAAACTGTGAATAAAGACGTTGCGTACCTTTCTCTCGTCGACTCTCGGAACGCTTCTCGCTGTTCTAGAAGAACCTCCGCTGCTCACGCTCTTAACTATCGATTTCCTAGACGCGACGGTTGCAGCGCGACGATTCTCTCGACGCGCTCTAATATCGTTATCTTCTACACATCCCTTTTGTTTGCAATAACACGTACGAGCGGAAGTCATTTCTCCTCGCGACGTCGCCGAGCAGATCCGTCCGTTGCACGACTCCAGAGAACTCAAATTCTCCCTGAAACGGAAAGAAAGAGTGAGATGTTGGGCCTCTTCTTAACACATTGAGCACCATCAACGGCGCTACAGTACTGTTGTGTCTCATTAAATTATATATAGTGATTTAATTATAATTACAGTATAATAACGGCTCTATGGCCTGTATTAATACTCGTTATTTGAAATTCTTCTCAAGTGAGATACTTAGATTTGAGTTCAGAGTTGGATAAAAGTTATCGATTGAATTACAGATATAATGTTACATATATCATACAATTTAACTGAAAAGTTTTAATCTTACTTCTAAATGAAAATCTGAATATCTCACATAAGACAAGTTTCAAGCGACAAGTATTAATACGAACCTATATGCATTAAATATACACTGATCTTTAGAATATATAAAGATGTTAGAAAGTTCAGGTCGAAAGTAAAACTAAAGTTTCGACTCTAGAACGTGTTGCTTTATCGGGAGATCTCGGCGTAAAATTGATCGATTAAAGCGGCTCACATTCGCATTTCTCACCGTGCGTCACGCATAATGTATGAAAAGGTAATGCAATAAATGTGCACATGCTCGCGCATAGCGATGTGTGTCGCGTGTCGATACGACGAGGAACATCGAATACTAAATAACTGCGCATGACGCGGCTGATGATGCGACTTAACAATGTTCGTGTCGTCGTGCACTTTAAAATATGCATCAATCGGCGAGACGCGCCGGCTCGTGTCCTTGGACGCGCACGTGGCGCTTGGTCCCAATTATACCGGGATATACGACAATGCGAGCACGATTAAAAAGTATTCGCGCGGATCGTCACGAGTGCACACGTGCGTGCACTCCACGCGTGGCATTCACCCGCGACGAGTCGCACAGAAGGCTCTTCGACGTTCAGCTCTACGGCGAATTTGAAGTGGATGGAGAAGAGAGTTACCAAGCTCTTGCGAGAGTAAGTCGTCGATGATTTCGTCGGCTCGAGTAATAAATCAATCTCTTATATATTATTATCATTAAGGCATTCACTCAGCGTTCTAGAATAAATCACCTTGAGCGCGGAATACATTTATATACAGAATGTCCCACAATGTCGCGACCTTATTTCTATTGAGGTGTTCTATTTATAGGTAATTTTTCTCTCCTCAACGAAAATGTCGAGGAATCAATAATTCCCGTGATATCCGTCGATGAAGAAAGCAGAGAACTTTTCGCGAAATAAACATCGGCCGACCAGGTTATAACGCAATTATTTTCCTCAATCAGTTCCAAGTAGATTTTAATAGAATTTTCATTTGGAGTTCAAGTACAAAAACGTCGTGTTGAAGTACAAAGATACGTTGTGTTGAATAATCGTCATAAATAATGACTTCTCTCGACATTTTTTCGTCAACAAAAAATTGTCTTCAAATTACTGGGACAATCTCTCGAAAAATTAAGATCAAGAGTTATGCACTGAGAGAAAAATGTCTGAAAAATAAAAAATATTCATTTATTTTCGCGTGGTAATTACTAATAACATATTTACTTCAATTCTTTTATTTAAGTAAAATAAACAATTGCTTTCATAAAGAACTAAGGTTTTAAGAAAATGCATATTTTCTTGAGAAATATTTTATATTGATACAAATATATTATTAAAATATATTATTATATATATATTATTATAAATAAATTAAATATATTATTATATATATTATTATATATATAGTAAATATATTATTATATATATAGTATTCACCGCAAGAAAAATATTTTTATTTCTTAGATATATTTTCTCTCATGCAGTAGGATCTCTGTATATAAAAATATAATATATTACATTATATACACGCAAAACCTCAAAATATTTATTTTGAATGTTTGGACATTAATCGACTAGAATCTCTCCATTATCAAACCTCAATGTGATTGATTATACATTGATTGACAATTAGTTTCACCAAGCGATTAAATTACTCGCAATTACATACGTCAAAATACAATACGCAATTACATACGATCAATCAATTTTGATTATTGTTTTGCCGATTATTTTAGTCAAGGAAATGTTTAACCGATTAATGCCTAACACCGTTTGTGTAAGATTGTCAAGAACTTACCATAGAAATTACCCGGAAAAACAGAAGAAATTAATGACGGATCACGATAGCCAATACATCGCGATCGGACTGTTCCGTTACAATTAATAGTAAAAAAGACACAGCTAAAAATCCGACGAACTTTCGCGAGTCCACCGTGAATTGCGCTCGGTGCATCGATCGGCGTGCACGAATCGAATGGAAAGCGCTCGGCGGGAACGAGAGAGGCGTTGGCGTTACGTCGCTGCGAAGCGACGGGTTCAGAGACCGACGATAATAAAGCTCCCAGAGTCTCTCTTCGAGAGGCGGGGGTGGTGATGGTGGCGGTTGCCCATACACACTCACCCTCACTTCTCTCTTTCTCTCTTTCTCTCTCCCTCAGCGTCGTTCCGTTCGCTCTCTCTCTCTCTCTCTCTCTCTCTCTCTCTCTCTCTCTCT